ACATTGTCAGCGAAAAGCTTCCGACAAATTTAGAAAGAAACATCAGATCCTCCCCGCTCACCGATTCCAATTTATTTCGCCGATACCGGATTCGCGGCCGCTTGTCAGGAAACATGAAAGGCACTTCTTTTCAGCGAACGGTGTAAATACCTGTTATGTGCTATCCACACAATGCGAATTTTCTTCTCAGCCAAAGATGCGTTCCGCTTGGGACTTCGATCGGACTGCATGATGTGGCGGAAACCCACCGTCCGGAAGTAACTCGAATCGCGAGGAATTACACCAAGAGGAAGTTTATTACCGTTTTCGGTAATATTGGGCGCTGCGCAATCAGTGGTGCGAAACAAGGGATAATTATACTGGAAATGGGAAGTCTAGAAATAGATTCTGTTCTTTTTAGAAATTAGAAAAGTAATGAATTATAAGAAATAATATGTTTTTAAAGGTGACATTATATAGTAGTGTTTTATTTATATGCGAATACTTCAAGGACACCTTAAGGTCACTCGAGCTTCATAAATGAAGTCTATATTATTTTTAAACGCAGACAGAAGTAGCATACCGAGGGGAGTTCAATCACGCAACGGTTCAACGAGTTCAGTCGTGCTGCAAGATTTTAGTAGTGAAGCTATTCATTAGTGTTACCGTTATTTCATCAATATTGTTAATGAATGTAACTAAAATGTCCTCCTAACTGGACGAATTCATAATTCTAATATAGTTGTTATGCGCTGAATATAATTAACAGATTGAATATATTAAAGCAGATATTCTCGAAGTGCATAAGTTTAAATTTTGTGACAGTAATTTAGCATTTCTTTATTCAAACAACCTAAAATTAGATTTAACATACCGAAATTACTATAGATAACAAAACAAAACAAAGAAATTTGTTTCTAATTTTTTAATCTGTCTCTGTAACGTTAAAATGATAAACATTCATGGTTAACAGTTTTGCAAAATGAGGAAATAGAAAAATAATCGATTTTTCTGTTATAACAGGAGATTCCTGTTAAAATTCATAATATACTATAAAATAGTTAATCTCGAATGTTATACATCAATATTTATGTATTTTACATGTACTGTAAGTAAAATACAGACAGAAAAGCAATTATTTGAAAAACTTATTAACTCGTAATGAGTGTACAAATACATGGTTATGAAGCTTAATAAATAATGAATGAAGGAATCATCATAATTTTTATCGTAATATGAAAGTAATATGGTGGTCGAACGACGGAGCGATATGGATCTTGCATTCATTTCTCATTTCATTTTTCTTTCGCGTGAACGAAACTCGTAAATTATACTATCTTCTCCTTTACCTATTCTTGGAGGGTTATTATGCCCTATTCCTACCAAATTTGTTCATTTCATCATTATTTTATGAGTTTTTTTTTATTTTCATTTGAATATCGTATCAGTTGAGATAACTTATTTCCGATCAGATAATTCCTTCCTGGTGTTCCGCATTGCATCACGAAACGTTTAATTTTTGATCATACTAAACCCTGTTTTCATCCACCACACTTTTTACAGTATTATATTAAATAAAAAATAGTTTTATCAATGTTCCTTACATTTTCCAAAGTCGCGACAACATAACATGTTATAATAAGTAAATATTGTTTTATTGTGAAGTAAAAAATGTTAACGACATCAGAAAATGTAAAAAACGAATAAATTTTGTTTTTTAAAATACATATTATATATTAATAGGTATCTTTTACTAAATAAAAGTTCATATTTATTTATTAAAACTTAAACCCAAAGTCTTAGAAGGAAATCTTTTCAACCAGCACCCGCCCATTTTGATGAAATTTATGTGAAGCATAGTTCTCAAGAAAATATTTCACACGTATTTTCTTTTATCGACCAACATCCAATTTGAACGGGTGAAAACACCCCTCAAAATTTCAGGGATGAAAATATATTTTCTACAGCATCTCTGAAACTACGGAGTGTATAACAGAAATCTAAATTGTTCATTTCGAGGCGAATAGCTTGAACAAAAAATTAATTTTCTACGTCCCCAAGTTTCAGAGATGTCAAAAATATGCTTTCAACCCTAAACTTTGAGGGACGTATTCACTTCTTCAAAGTAGACGATGGTTGATGAGAAAAATTACATATAAAATATTTTCTTAAGAACTACGTATCATATAAATTACATCATAATTAGCGTGTACTAGTTGAAAAGGTTCTCTTTTTAGTTTTATGGGGTATGAAGGTTTATCTAACAGTATCGAACGTATTTTCAAGTAATTTTAGTTTGAGACTGCAATCGAGTAAAAATTAAATTTCGAATATAAGGTTTCAGAACAAATAGTTGAAAATCGATTCGAATGAAATTATATTGAGTTTGGCCATGTTTGAAACATACGGATTATCGTTGTTTTGAGACAAAATTAAATCGAACGCTAAAGTTTCGCCAGTATGAAACTAATCGAATTACCGTGAACTGTAACCACTTCAAATTTATCGAACTGGAATTGCCTAAATAGCCAAACAGTTCTGTTTACGAATTAGGAAGTTCTGTTTGGAGATTTAATGTCTGTATTTAGATAATTATCGAATTACGCAGTGATACATAGCTTTCAAACCAGTTGGAAGCTGGATTGTGTTCTGAACAAAATGAATAAGTTCAAATGTAATGCATTAAAAACTTTTATTTGTAACATGCATTCGCTTTAAGATTAATCTTTAACAAGCTTTTAAATTTCTGTTTTAATAACCCTTTAACGGTATCTCTTAATAATTTGATAATAAATATTTCAATTTTAATCAAAATTACTGTTATAAAACTTTTCCAACAGTAAAATTTTTGCAGTAGTAAAAATAATTTACATATTCATCGTTCAATGCACATGCGGCAATAAAGTAGTATTAGAATATGAAATTTAACAAATACTCATGGTTTATAATGTATCTACTTTCTTCACTTTCTTTATAATTAGTACTTTCGTAATTCTTGAAATTCTGCCCAAGGAAACATAAAGCAAGAAATATTCGTAAATGACATTTCAAATGTGAAATGCAGATTCCTCGACTGCTTATTTGAAATGCTATGGGATTCCTACGAGTTAATTAAAGTAACCATAGATAAACGGGATTAGTATAGTTAATTGGAGAGCTTAGTGAAACTTCGAGACAAACAGATTAAACTATCAATGTATAGTTTGGAACAGGAAGAAACTTGCCTTTCGACAAACATTGATCAAGATTAATTAAGGCATATCAGAATTACTTGTTAGTAAAGTAAACAATTTCTTCGATATCCCGATCCGAGGAAAATTTATTTAATCATGATAAAAAACTATCGAATTAGATCAGTAAAATTTTCTGCACTTTTGAGTTATCAGTTACTTAAAACTTTTTATTCCTTCCCTTGAGCCCAGTTGTCTCCTTTTTCTTTATATATTTCGATGCATTACGTTTCATTTCTATTACACAAACTTACTTATGTGTAATGTATACTTATATTTCCTAATTTTATGACTGTTAATAATTAATAAGTTACAAATTTAATTTAAATTGCTAATAAAAATAAGCTACGATTTATACACTTTTAAATTTACACTAGGAGAAATGCAATATTTCTACAATCTCGATTTCTCGATTTATGTATAACATTATTCTCGCTTTATCCTTGCTTTTCAGCTTCATAAATGACGAAAGGATCACGTTTAATGACAGGCTAAGGAAGAGCAACAAAACTGGGACACCAATTAATGAAATCATCAAAAGATCGTATTCACTGTTGTCTGTAATTACGTTGCCAGTTTCAAATGACGCATTTGTGGGAAGCCAAGGAACTAACGATGCATTGAAGAAGACCCAGCGTGACCATAACTAGAGGTTCGTTCGAGATTCAAATTTCGTAGTTGACGAAATATATGTCACATATGTACCCAAACATAGTGTAAAATTGACATTTCGTACGGTATCCAATAAAACATTTTATTCGCTACACTTTTACTATTAACCTTTAAGTATGGACGTGAATTTAACCTTTAAGCATGAAAGTGTGAAAATTATCGATTAATGTTAAATATTCTCGTTTGCAGTAACTAATAAAAAAATTATTGTGTTTATTTGATTTTGCTTATTTAAATATTTTCATTTTGTACCTCATTTTGTACTAAAAATCATTAACCCGACTTAACTCAGAATAATAATTTAGATCTAGTTTTTGATGCTCTTATTTTTTCCATAATATGATTGATTCGATATTTGTAGTCAATAAATTTTCTCGTAATACATTCGAATACCAAAAAGCATAAATAAAAGAATTGTTATATTCTTAGTTTTTTAGAAATTCAGATAAAGGCACCAGTAATTGACCTGGTATGAGTAGTTGACCACTTTTCAAGAAAACGTAAAAAATAAGGTTTACAAAAGTAATAATCTTTCAATAACTCCGAGACATTTTTACCTGAATTAAATTGTTTATCTTAGAAACTAACAATTTATTTCATTGACGTTGGTTGTGTCTCCAATTTCCAACATGAAATTAACTTCCTTTTACGTGTACTTGTCTTTTGACTTGTAATTTGTCATAATCATTGCAAATAAACGATATTTAAGTAATCACCATTAGTGTTTGGTTTTACCATAAGTGGTCAACTGTTAACTAATATGTAGTCAATTACTAGTTTTCTCGTTCTAAAGAATGGTTAACTTCTGACGAATGTAATGAATTTTCAAAAATGTCTATCAAATTTATAATATAACTCTTTCCAAAAAGATCCCTTTACTGAATGATGTAAGAAATTCAAACAGTATTTTCATGCATACTCTGTATTTAATAAAAGCAGCAAGCGTTTACTATTATTCGCGCATAAAATTTGTCTTAATTGGTCGACTATTGGTGCTTTTACCTTATTTCATAAGGCAAGCGGTTAGCAGCTTCCTTGGAGTCTCGATCGTTTCTAGTGGCTATCTCAGCGGTGTACCATGAAGCAACACTCGGGTACCATTGAATGAGTCTTACTCACCCAGAAGTAGCCTGTATGTCCACTTCCGGCCAAGAGGGTCTCCTCCGACAGAACATCAAAGGCGGCCGATCGGCGGAACCGGTGCTTCTCCGAAAAGAACCGACCCTGCGGGGAGAGGTACTGCCTGATGCGCTTCCTGTCGCGGGATACACCGTCAGCCCGGGAGACGAAGTGCACTCAAGGGTTCGTCTACGCGTCGACAACGAGCGTCCGTGGGAGGAGGGCGTGACGATGCCCGGGGGTGGCACTACCTGCGAGAGTAAACAGATTCAAGATCGGTACAATTATCCTCTGCAGAAATTCCCATATTACATCTCGCACTACAGTGATGCTTGCTTAAATTCCACAAAATCTGCTCGGATAAATTCCACTGCACTAACTCTACTCTTCCCCTACTACTGTGTTGAGTGGAGTAACGCGATCCTAGTAAACAGGGACAGAAAATGAATGCAATGAACAGAAGCAGAATAGACACAGTACTTTGAAAATCGAGGATGGAGACACGGAACTTTAAAGCGATGCCGCACGTGTCAAACACAAACATGTAATAAAGAAAACTTCAATTGAATGTCGAGATTCTTCTGATTAAAATGAGCCTAAACACGACGTAAATCGGTCTAGTTCTATCGATTTGGAGAAAATGAACCGTTACTTTCGTTAATTATATTATGTCGATAAAACTAGTCCTATTTCCATCGTGTTTGGATTCATTTTAATCACAACAATCTGAGAAATTCACTGGCACTACCTTTGAGTAGGTAAAGTTAAAATGATTGTAATTGAAATTTTCTTCATTGCATGTTTGTATTTGACGCGTGTTGCATCGCTTTGAAGTCCCGCGTCTCGACTCCCAATTTTCGGCAGACTGTGCCTATCCCGCTTCTAATCACTTTATCGATTCTTTGTCAGCTGGAGCTCAAGTCAGTTCCTGGAAGGAAATAGCTTCTCTCCGTTTTTCCTGCTCGGCTAAATTCCACTACTGGAGCCTGAAATCGTGGAATTTAAGCGAGCATTATTTTATCGCCGATTTTAGGAACCGTGCAGACGACTATGTCTAGATTTATGCGGGTCTATAATTCAGGAATTGAAAACAGTTATAATTTCGGTTTGAGTTCTTGAAACAGTTATGAAGAACCGGAAAAAAGTCATAAGTATTATTAACTGTATCGGTTGAGCTATATCGGTTTTATTTTTCGGATGTGAAAAAAATGCAGAACTAAAATATATAACCAAAATACCAGATATGCATTAACTGCCGAGATGAATTTCAATCATCTTACTGAATTTCTTTGCCTCCAAAGTAAATATTAGTTTTCTTCCTAAGAATTTAATTCAATTCCCTTTCAAAACCCTTTGGTGCTTTACAACAAATATAGATATACGACAATCCTAAATCCTTTCTTTTTTGTTATTCCAGTAAATTATTAATGTTATGCTGATCATAAAAACAGATCACGCAGCTAGGGGTTAAGCATTTATATATACTAGAATAAGTATTATTAATAAAATGTTAGTTCTATCTATATTTCTTCTATCTATAGTTCTTCTATCTATATGTAATAATTTTAATTAACAAAAAGATTTATTGAATTTCCGAGATTCTGAGGGAGTAAGCACTAATTATACCGGCACTTTTTCTACCGTAACTAGAAAAAGAAAGATGAAAATTGAAAAACCAGTTAATCGAAGAATACAGGAATTGAAATAAATTAAATGAACAAAAGAAAACGCAGAATTTTAAATCTGGTCATTTGACCGGTTTCCGGTATGGTTAGTGTTTAGGGTTAGTTAACGATTAAGTTGACAATTACCAAGTTTTCTAGATATTTTTCTAAATATACTCTTACCAAATGTGTTGATCCTGTTATTATATATAATATAATTAACTGAAAATTTAGATTAAAAATAGAAAAGTAAAAAGTAAATGAACTTTAAACATTTGGATTAAAATGGATCTGGATACTGTTGCTCGAAGGTTAAAGGATTAAAGTGTGTCTTTGGCCAACTTGTCATGTCTCATGTTTCGAATAAACACAGGGTGAAAGTTCATGCTTTCAGCGAGATAGTAAAACTTTTTAAGTCTGGGTTTTATTGTATCCTTAGGAATTCAATTGTTTCAAGCTGCATAGGTGAATGTGAGCACTACATTATGAAGGGTATAGACTGTACTGAGAAATTGACTGCCTATCGCTGTATTAATACTATCAGAGTAGATACTAATAATAAAAAATATGCTTTTATCAAAAATTTTAAATAAAAATCTAAATCGAAAATATGAATTGAATTTTCTTCATTTGGGATTTTCTTTTAATGAAAATTAACATTGAGAATTTCTGAACCATATGCACACTTACATGATTTGATTTAAGGTGAGTAATGTAATCAACAAAAAGTTCTTTTGCACGAAAAATATGTAAACAATATACAAGTAGGTTTCTTCGTTGGAAATTGCATTTTACAATTTTCTTGAAAATAAGATTTACATTAAAATAATTTATTTACTTTTTCTGATAGAAATAACTTGAATGAGAAACTATATTGGTTTGTTTTAGTGTTCGATTTTATTTCATGCATAGTTATAGTACCAGTTACAGTGCAACATAAAATAATTACTATTTTAACAGCAAGATGCTATAATACTTATTTAATTTCATTAGTCAGCAGAATTACGTTGGCGTGACATTAGACCATAACCGCTGCCTTTGCAAAGTTACGCAAACGTGACAACGGCTGTCGAAGTGTTAACATACTGTTAGATCATTTATGAGCTTTCCACAAATTACGCGTATTCTGCACTGAACGTTATTTCATTGTTTATCTATATTTCATAACTATGCAAAATGTCTCTGAATTGATATTACAACACCGAAAATGTTAAACCAAAATAAGAAAAATAAGTCGAAAATATAGAGTATTTGGTTGATCTTTTGTATTTTGGTCAGGTATATACGTTATTGAATAGCGCTTGATTAAACTGTCTGTTCCATATTTACTATATGTACTTGAAGCACGAAAATGTCAACTAAATATAAATTTGAACATTGATTTACTGGTAAATGAGGCTATATATGAAAAACTCGAAACATGTTTAACTTATTTTTTTCACGTAGATTCGATCGCAAGTCGATTGTCCTAACTGTACTTTCATAAATATATCCTTTATCTGCTAGGAGTTACTGATATTTATGATGCAATAGTTTTTTTTAAAAAAGTGAACCATCTCTCCCAGATTTACCCTACAGGACTTGATAATTTTCATACAGAAAATCAACTGGTGACCGAGAGTTAACTGTGACAATTAACACAACCAGGTAAGAAATCATAAGGCAAGGCGTTAATCATCTCTATGAAACAGATTCTGTGCTCACCTTTGGGTAACCATAAAGGGTCGATTGTTGCGCGGTAGAGTTCGTGTTCGTTGTCCCGGTTACGCTTCCGGTTGAGCCGCTCCTTCCGGTCGCGCTGGAGGCCGAGTCCTCTCGGCTGAACGAAAATCGCTTTGGGCTGAGGCCCAGGCTCGCGACGCTGTCGCTCACGTACTGTTGCAGCGAATTGAAGAAGCTCATTGTCGAATCTGTTTTTCTCACTTCAGAGCTCGTCACTCTCCTTCGATTGATCCTAAACCTGATTATCGCTTCGCGCGCGACCGAGAGCAATTGTCATCGTTTTGTCTCTCCTTTCTTCAGACTTCTTTTTTTCTTCTTCACTCGAGTCGTTTTATGGGGACAGTTTCGAAGTTTCCGGCTCGCAGGAATTTTACACGCATCGATCTCGAAGTAACACGGCGGATTGGCTCGCTGAGACGGGGAGGAAAACACCTCGACCTCGGGAACTTTCACGGTCCTTTGCGTCACGGTATCGATTCTGCCTCTGAGCCATTTGCAATTTTGTTACTTCTTTCTCCTGTTGATCGTTACAGCTCCCCCGTAGAACTTAAGTCATCGTCCCTCGGCTGTCTCCTTAAGCCGTTCCCACCTTGTGCGAGAGGCTGGAGACGTTTTTGTGTTGCGCGTGCATCGCCTGTGGGACAGAAAGAAGGACTGTTGGAGACGACGAAGACTTTCACTTCGTAAATATTATTATTCCATAATATAATACCCCCTTTAACGCTAGGTTTACGAGAATTTAGTGTATAGTTTTTTCTATTGGCATTAGAAAAATTGATGTTCGTTATTTTAGGTTTTAAAAATTATAGGTTTAAAGGTGGACAATTAAACTACAGATCAGTGTTATTGCATTAATAAAAATCAACGTAAAGATTCATCAAATAATATTTATAAAATTCAATGTACGTCAAATTGACGCATTCAGTAAACCTAGTGTTAAACATTATAATGCAGTATCTCAAAAAAATTTTTTATGTTACATATGTAGAGAGGTTTGCATTCTTAACACTCTGGGAACGAAAGAGTATCTTCATTTTCCTATCCGTTGCGTGAAACAACATTTTTAGAGAAAATTGCTTGTAAAATACCACAGTAAAGGAATCTTTAAACTGAGTTCAGGCTGAATATTATGCGGCTTTTTATTCTACAGTTACCGAAGCTTTGATATTGCAAATTGTTCGATTATGATTTAGTGATCGCATATACATAAGAATCTTATTTGTTTCTATTGAAGAAACCAATGATACAATGATAAACGTCAAAACAATGATATAGGTCATGTATGTGGATATATCAGGTATTGTGTGGAAATCAAAAAAAGGCCTTACAAGAATTTTATTTGTATCTATAAAAACGATCAAATATATAATATGTATCATGAACATAAATAAAATATATAGAAGTGATTTTTTTTAAGTGTTGTTTGCAGAAGAAAAGTTGAATCTTTGTTGAAGGTATGTTTACTTCGTAAATGTTAATATTCTATAATATATTATTAAAATATAAAATTATAATATACGTGTAAACTTTTTCAGTGTACACACAAGAATTTTATCTGGGTTTTTTTCTAAAAAATTATGACATAACTTCTGTAGAATATGGCATAAATATATGTAGAATATATATTTTTCATTGATCAGTCTGTGGTATGAAATATTGACGTTTTTTGGCAGTTCCACTGATACATATTTTTTAATATGACATCGTCAAATAGCTAACAGTAAAATTCACATCCAATCAATAAACTGAAATTGATTCGACTGCATGTTATCGATAAAGTAACAAAGCCAAATATGATTAATGAAAAAAGATAATATTGTGGAACCTGAAGCTATCGAGATTAAATAAATGATTTGTATTTTTTATTAGTAAATGAATTTTATTGAACCGTTGGAAAGTTTATTTCATTCTGGATTAACAAAGATTCCTATTTTCATAGTTTTGGAAAACGGTTAGTACTGTATATGCTTTTAATACTGGCAGGTTTCTCTACTTTCTTAATTAAAAATACGTTTATTATCTTACAATTAAATTTAAAACAATAATTCATACCACAGTATCCCTTTATCCTAATAAAACGTTACCAATTGTTCATTTTGAAACATGTTATATAAAAGTATTGGATATAAAACAATAATTAACGATGTGGTTTTAAGTAAAACTTTTCATATTTTTATCTAATCATAAATTAAGCGAAACAAATTTAATATATACCTGAAATACATTTTTCAAATATGTATATAGTAGAAAAGTAATTAAATAGAACTAAATTGATTTCTTGTTCAAAGAACAGAACTTTTTTTATTTTAATACGAATCATTCGCTGCGTACCTCGCATTTTGCACCTGAAAAGCTATTTTCAAAGGGCAGTTTGACGCATACAAATAGATTAAAAGAGATATGATATTCGCTTGAAACGCTGTCCGTGGCAGTATTCTGATACATTTCAGTTCGTTCTAGGTTGAAATGCGTTTAATCAACTACGCGATACAGGACTGCAGGTTCGAAATGATTGCAAGAATTTATCGATTTATGTGCCGACAAATGCACAGCCGATGCTTCAATTATTGCGTTTGTGAAACGTAAATCAATTTTCTACCGAGACGGCCGAAAACTAGCATTCAACACCAAAAGAAAACGAGAAATTCTTCATGTAAACGTTGTGAATAAATAGAAAAATATATGGATTAACAGTTGAAATAAAACGAAACTTATTCATTTCTGCGCGTCTGTTTTATTTTTCATTCGTTATGATATATTGTGAAATTTTAATCATGTATGATTTTACCTGAAAGCGAAGTGAAATCGACATCAATATAAAATTTCACGTAACGCATCTCTGTTACTTTTTGTTAAATATTTCGTAAATTGAAAGTCTCATGGACCGGATGAGCTCCAAATTAACAAATAAAACTTATAAGCGATTATTGTATTCTTTCGTAAAATATTTGCAACGGTACGTATATTTTGAAATTTGTTTACTTATTGTGTACTTGCATCTTTCAATATGAAGAAATTAAAGAGATAGTGAAAATAATAATAGACGTAACAAAGTCTTGATTATATAGATGGCAAATACTAAAACAAAATTACGAATGTTAAAATTTTATAGAATTATTTAATGAAAAAATAAATTAGCAGAAAATTGGAAAATCTTAATTGCCATACCCTTAATATAAATTTATATCAAAAATTGTTCACTTCTTCAGAATAATAACGCAATGAATTTATTTGTATAAGTATTTATGATTATATAACAAATAAAGTAATTTTTGTTAAGTTTCACGAACTTTTTTATGGAGTTAATTAAACATTCAAAATATTTCTTATATATTACATTATATATTTATTTGATAAAACATTGGCAAAGTTAATGCTTAGAAAAATATTTGACACGTATCTGCTCTTATCTGCCATCGTTCATAATGGAGGGATCGGAATATCTTTCAATATTGAGGGTGAGAATCATCTTTGCTCAAATATAGTAGACCCTTCTCAAGCCAGAAAAAAATTAGAAGACTAACTGCAAAGTAAACCGAAACATAATTGCATAAAATGTATCCCCCACTTTAAAAGCTATTTTCACCTCTATTTCCTTTCAAATCCGTAATAGTTAAAGCCTACGAGTACACAAACAACAATACACTGTTCAACTACAAAATTCTTAAATTAATTAACCCTCCGCGAACAAGAGTTTTTTAAACCTCTAGAAACGCAATCCATAAAAAGCTAAATTGTACATTGAAATGCAAAAACATTAGAAAAAGAGAAAACCACAAATCAATCATTCATTATATGGATAAATATATTCAATTGGAACTTCCAATTTTAGATAATGAAAGCTCGAAACTATCATTACGTCGGCATTCGATTGCACAGGATGAAACATTATCTTTAAACCTTTAATCTCTGAACCGTTTGATACGACAAAATTAAACGAAATCTCAAAGATGATCAGCTGATTCTGCGATTCCTATGTTACCAGGATAATTAGCATTCACCGTTCGTTGCAGTTTTATTCTTTGCTTACATACGAACCCCTTTGGCGCAATTTCCTTCGGAACTTGTTAGCCCTGGTTAAATCATTCTCGCTCTCCGACCGGCGTTTTGTAAACAGGCTAATCATAGAATTCGCGTAACAGTTTCTCAACTTGATCAGGACCGGAATCCACGAACTCGTCACGATCTCTGCTCGTGGCACGCCGTAACCCTAACGACACTCCACCGTGGCGATTAATTAACCGTTCAATCGATACCGCTTCAAGATCTCCAGACACTGTTGCTGCTTCCCGATAATATTGGTTCCCCGCTGTTTTCTAAGTCTGATAAATGGAACTTCGACGACTGTCGTTCGTGACGAAACCGGCCGCGCCTTAAACTCTGACAGGTTTCGAACTGGATGGCCTAATTGTTTTCCAGTCGAAATTTGTCGATATGTTCTACATATAAATGAGAAATGAAAAATATTATATAATCATCGCACTGTAGATCTTTATACATTTGTAGTACCTGCAAATTTGTGAAATATAAAATATTTGCCTAAATAAAGATTAAAGGAAACTTATTTGACTTCTATCGTAAAGACATGCTTAGGTGACGAAATAAATTTGTTACTTATTATGGTTTGTATAAATAATCAGTGGAAATAAGTATTTACATAAAAGTCTACACGACAATATTCGTTATAATAAGTGAAATGAACATTTTGTTAACTGTAAAGTTTATAAATAATCTACTAAAATGTAATTTTACACGTAAACCTAGTTTAATAGATAGTTTAATTATTCAAACGAGTTTAATTACTATATGACACTTTAAACGATTTAAAAAATGCTATTTGTATGCTATACAAAGGGGATGATAATTAAATATCCATTAATGAAACAATAAAGAAATAGATTAAGTTATTCAGGATATGAAGACTCAGTGTTAGTAATATGTTTAAGGAACAAACGTACCTTTTTAAAAATTTCCATTCATGGATATACATAAAATATAATAGTATGTAAAATGAAAAAAATGATTAAATATATCGAATAATGAATGTAAGAATTTAAGAAAGGAATCACAACTTTATTATTAATTTATTTATAAGTGCATATTTATTTTATCGATTTGTTGTAGTATTTTATTAATTGCTAACTATTTATGTATTTATGTGGCGGGTACAGTATTACTAATAATTACGCGACACTATTCGAAGGTAGCGAAGACTCTTTTCGTTTGATGCATTGCCACATTCGCTTCTAATTCCAAACAGGATAGAATAGCTGTCAGCAGCGTGGGACAAAGTTTAACGAGTTTCGTTACACTCTATAAAATATGGTAATCAAGCGAAAAAATACGTACCACTCGAGTTTTCATTAAGGGGAACAGGAAGAGTAATCCACAGAGACCGGGAAACTTCGAGTGAGAGCCAAGTCCAGGACCGAAACGAACGACAGAATGTAATTTGTTTATTATCGACTTCGGGATACTTGAATACTGACCAAACTTTAACAGGGCCAACTTCATTAAAACTTTCCTCAATTACTCGTATACACTATTAAGTCATTTTCATAAACTCCGGTGACAGATTTGTTCCGTAGGAATGTGAATATCGAGAAATATGATTAACGTTAAAAGGAAGGCTAC